TCACTAACACAGTTCAAACATCCTGTCTCAGAATTCTGGAAGTACAGGTAGTCCTCGACTTACAACCGTTCAAAATTCAACGGCACTGAAAATGTGTTTTATGACCATTTTTTCACACAACCATAGCAGGTCACATGATCAAAATTCAGATGCTTGGCAACAGATTCATATTTATGACAGTTGCAGTGTCCTGAGTTGATGGGATGAGAGTTTGCGACCTTCTAACAAGCAAAGTCAATGGGGAATCCAGATTCACTTAACAACCATGTTACAAACTTAACAAATGCAGTTGTTAAGCAATTCACTTAACAACTGTGGCAAGAAAAGTTGTAAAATGGAAGAAAACTCACTTAACAAATGTTTCACCTAGCAACATAAATTTTGGGCTCAATTGTGGCCGTAACTTGAGGACTACCTGTACAATTAAATTGGTCTAAAGTCAACAGTTTTACAGAAGCCGAATACAGAATACAAATTCTGAATATAGAATCTCCTTCTTTCTTTCTTTCTTTCTTTCTTTCTTTCTTTCTTTCTTTCTTTCTTTTTTCTTTTTTCTTTCTTTCTTTCTTTCTTTCTTTCTTTTCTTCTTTTCTTTTCTTTTCTTTTCTTTTCTTTTATTAGATTTATATACCGCCCTACTCCTGAAGGACTCAGGGTGGTGAACAGGCACAAAAATAAAATACATAAATACAAAAATTTAAAAGCAAAAATAAAACCAGATTAAACAATTTAGCCCAAGACAAATTTAAAACATCCCAATAAAAAATCCCAAAAGAGCCTTGATAGTACAGTGGTCTAAGCACCCTGTTATTAATACAGCTGCCTGCAATTACTGCTGGTTCGAATCTCTCCAAGGCTCAAGGTTGACTCAGCCTTCCATCCTTTCTAAGGTAGGTTAAATGAGGACCCAGTTTGTGGGGGCAATAAGCTGACTTTGTATAAATATACAAAAGTATGAAGGCTATTGCTTAACGCACTGTAAGCCGCCCTGAGTCTCCGGAGAAGGGCGGCATATAAATCAAATTAAAAAAAATAATAATAATTTAAAAACAGATTTAAAATTCTCAATTTAAAAGAAAAGGGGGGATTAGCAGGGGATCAGCAGAGGATTATCATCCCCTGCTGATAATCTACGAGCCTTTGCACGAGGCAAGTACAAGGAAGGCTTAATGAGGCCGTCCGCCTTATAATTTCATGTTATCTGAGGCCCATGATCAGATAACATGGGTTCAAATTAAGTTCTACTGTATAAGATCCAAATCAAATTCAGAGCTATTTGGTGTGGGGGGGTGGGATATTTCCCATCCTACAATTGCCCTGAGTTTAATATACTGTATCTGCATGACAATCTTGCCTATGACCAATTATAGGAACATATCAATGCAGCCATTCAGTAACCTTCTCTGTCCTCCAATTTCCAGTTATTTTATTATGCCCTTTCTATCTTTCACTTCATGCAGTCTTCATATTTTGCACATGGTGGCACTGTGCTACTGAAGAAAGGTACAGGGAGCCCTTTCTGAAATCGGCCAGTGATTTTCTTACAATCTGAATTAATCCTGAATATTTTACGAAGTACAAAATTACCTGTTAATCATCTGAATGATTTGGGGGAGGGAGCAAGGGGAACTTTGTATTCATCAATAGGATTTTAAAGACATTGTTAATTTGGTGCATTAAAACACAAACCCAGAGTTGTCTTTGAAAAGGTAACCACGTAAGCAATACAAAATTCCTTTTCCAGGACATATTGTCATATTGTTTTCAAGGCACACATCTATGTATATAGATAGGTAGGTAGGTACTGAATTTATATAGCTGCCCATCTCTCTTGCATGTAACTCTGGGCGGCACCCCCAGTTAAACACAAACTAAATAATCAACATGATTTATTTATAAAATTTACCATTTCAAATGTTATACTAAAGGACCTAGCATGTTGATGTTCTGACAACTCAGCCATCACCTAGAGATAACTTCCACCTCCCTACCGTTCAAATGGCGTAACCAAAACCACAGGAAGAAAACAAACGGCACAGAGCACATCCTCCTTAGCAACCGAGATAAGCAAGAAACAGCACCAGATAAACAATCAAGAGGGGGGGAAAAAGCAACGAAGAAGTTCTCAGGGGACAAACCGCATTCCTAGAGTTTCTTCTCATTCGTGGACATTCCTGGGAGAATTCATAACGTGCCCTTAGAATAGACTTCCATTCGAGAATAGCTGATGAACATGAATGGAGTTATTCTAAGTACAGTTTCTTAATGGATGAGTAGAACGAACTGAAAATCCAGAAATGGTGAAGCTGGTTAAACTCCTAAAGTAAATTGTCAGATTACAGTGTAACTTACTGCATAACTATCCAGAAGAAAGTCTCATTCCATTCTGTAAAATGTGTATGTAGGTAAATGCACATAGGGTGGCAACCTGTCCTTTTCTCCATGCAGCCTTCAGAACCATCTGAAAATTTTATGCTGAAGATTAACAAGCCCTCCAGCACATAATTGCATGGGCATGGGCTGCCTTATCTGAAATCCAGAGGAACATTGCATGATTTTGGGAAATTCCATCTGCATCTCCTACCTGAGGGACATAGTGGCTCAGTGGCTAAGATGCTGAGCTTGTCGATCAAAAGGTTGGCAGTTCAGTGGTTCGAATCCCTAGTGCCACGTAACGGGGTGAGCTCCCATTACTTTTCCCAGCTTCAGCCAACCTAGCAGTTCGAAAGCACATAAAAAATGCAAGTAGAAAAATAGGGACCGGCATTGGTGGGAAGGTAACAGCGTTCCGTGCGCCTTTGGCATTTAGTCATGCCGGCCACATGACCACGGAGATGTCTTTGGACAGCGCTGGCTCTTCGCTTTGAAACGGAGATGAGTACTGCCCCCTAGAGTTGGGAACGACTAGCACATATGTGCGAGGGGAACCTTTACCTTTATCCTCTACCTAATAATGTTCTTTTTTGCGGCTTTTCCCCCTATCCTCCGACACTCACACTGCTTCTGTCCAGAATAATTGCATTTTGGTTCACATCTGGGACAAAATATCCTTCTTTCATTCTGCATAGGGGCTAACATATCTTTAGACATGCACCATGTGGAGTCTTTAGTGCTCTCTGAGCTTGCTTGTTTTCTTGCAGATGTTTCATTACCCAAAATAGGTAACATCATCAGTGCTAGTAAAGAATGCGGTTTGCTGTCAGTTTATATTCTTATAGCTTGCCTTGGCAGTGTTGGTGGGGATGGTCTTAGAGATTCTTAGAGATTCCAGAAAGTCCAGTTGCCTCTTGAAAAAGCACCTTTGGGACAGGAGTCTCTTGCATTGCTTCAGAGTGGGCAAGGCACATGATTGCTTACTGATAATAAGTGGATCCTCTTTCCAATTTGTTTTAGTTTTTTCTCATGATAATATGGCATAATAACATAGCACCAATTGTAGAAAGTTAGCACTCACCCCTCTCCTAGAAGAATGAAATATTTTGAGAAATATTAAAACGGAATATATTTCCCTGAATGAGAAATGGAGAAACATGTTTTCTTAGAGGGAGAAAGCAGCCCCACCTTCCTTAATAGCCCACAGAAGATGTCAGCACTTAAGGGATAAAGAGATAGATAGCTACTATATATTCATAGGCAAAAATTCCCTGCAGCAAGGTCTGAACAAAGGCAGAATGGGATTAGCCCTCACTCAATATGTTAATTTGTTAATTAGTCTCTTTAGCTGAGATGTTAATTTGTTAATTTGTCTCTTTAGCTGGGCATTTTGTAGCCCAAATATGCCCACCCACTTTCTGGAGAGCTTAAATGACCTCTCTGCTAAAGGGTTTCACTTTATGAGCAAGAGTAATTTGGCTGCTGATAGTTATCCTTGTATTTTAACTATTTTAATTTCTCAATGTGCTCTGGCAACTTGCCTGATTTGTAACTCCGGATTGCAGGTATCGCTGAGGAAAAGGTAGTATTCAGACAGAATGGTTTAGGTTTCTATGACGGCTGTGACTCATTGATCTTCAGTCTATATTCCACCATTTCTAATCTAACGACTGGTATTTAGGGCAGCTTTTTGCACGCAAAGAAGCTTTTTGTATTTTTGTACGGGTAATCCTTTACAAAATGAACAACAGTTCATTTAATGACCATTCAAAGTTACAAGGGCACTGAAAAAGTGACTTATGACTGTTTTTCACACTTACGACCGTTGCAGCATCCCCACAGTCATGAGAGGGTGGGCAAGGCGAAGCACCCCTCAATGTAAGTGACATCGAGTTGGCCACGCCCACCCAGCCATTCCCACCCAGCCAGTCATTAGGGCAGAGAATCGGTTGTTAAAAAATCTGCAGCCCACCACTGAATTCAGCCCAACATTTCTGTTGCTAATTGAGACATTTGTTAAGTGAGTTTTGCCCCATTTTATGACCTTTCTTGTCACAGTTGTTAAGTGAATCACTGCAGTTAAGTTAGTAACATGCTTGTTAAGTGAATCTGGCTTCCCCATTGACTTTGCTTGTCAGAAGGTCGCAAAAGGGGATCACATGACCCCAGGACACTGCAACCGTCATAAATATGAGACAGTTGCCAAAGCATCTGAATTTTGAACCCAGAACCATGGGGATGTTACAATGGTTATAAGTGTGAAAAACAGTCACTTGTTTCAGTTGTAACTTTGAACCGTCACTAAATGAACTGTTGTAAGTCAAAGACTACCTTCATCTATTAAGAATAAACTTTCAGCTGTTGGTATAATACAACTACTCCAATTATTGTATGAAGAAAAAAAAAGGACAATCTAGAGCAGTATTTCTCAACCTTGGTAGCTTGAAGATGGGTGGATTTCAACTCCCAGAATCCCCCAGCCAGCAGCGCTGGCTGGGGGATTCTGGGAGTTGAAGTCCACCCATCTTCAAGCTTCCAAGATTGAGAAACACTGATCTAGAGGAAGTGGTCACGTGTCATGATTTGTGTAACTTATCCATAGTTCATGGTTTCTTCTCTCTTTGCAGGGATTTGAAATTGATGAACATGCCGCCATGAAAGCTCGTTGGGAAGATGCATCCAAAGAAACAATAAAAAGAACAACAAAGCCATGCCCTAAATGCCATGTTCCAGTAGAAAAGGACGGTGAGTTTCCTGAAGGATATTTCCCATTCCCCCATAGACAGATTTTAAAACAACATTGCAAAGCACTCCAATATATCAAGTGTAACCTAGCATGGTTATAATTTTCACTGTTTTAGAATTAACTAAATGTGTTTTGTGATTTAACATTCAAAACCATGAATAACACTGTCTAAGGAGATTTTTGGTTATCCAGGTCATGGTTATCCCAAAGTTGTTTTTTTAAGAGGCAACTGGACTTTCTTGTTTTTCTTTGAAGACCTTTCGCTTCTCATCCTAGAAGCTTCATTTGAAGAGCTGAAGAAGCTTCTTGGATGAGAAGTGAAATGTCTTCAAAGAAAAACAAGAAAGCCCAGTTGCCTCTTGAAAAAGCATCTGTAGGGCATGAATAAAACTATTAACTTTCTAGAAAATAAGTTCTGATAATTCACTATGACCAAAAAGGCCATTTCAAAATCATGAAACAAGATTACAATTTTCAGTCACTGTAGGAAATGAACATACAAAATTGTCCTTCAGAAACTCTTAATTGAAAAGTAAAACACATGCAACTAAAATTTGCAGAAGATTAGGGTAAAAGGAGAACAAGGCAGAACTCACAGGATAATTTACTTTTGAATTTACTTTCCAAACTCGCTACCCTGCAGATCAGTGGTGGGTTTCAAAAATTTTTACTACCGGTTCTGTGGGTGTGGCTTGGTGGGCGTTGCATGGCTTGGTGGGCATGGCAGGGGAAGGATACTGCAAAATCCCCATTTCCTTCCTATGAGCTGGGACTCGGGAGGCAGATAATAGATGGGGGTGGGGCCAGTCAAAATTTTTACTACTGGTTCTACGAACTACTCAGAGGTTCCGCTACCGGTTCTCCAGAACTGGTCAGAACCTGCTGAAACCCACCTCTGTTGCAGATGTGTTGGATTTCAATGTCTAGAATTCCTACTCAGCAGAATATAATTTGGTTTGATTTCGATTTAGGTGCCACACTGCTTCACTTTCCCTTGGTGCTCTGATTCAGGTTGCTGCTAGATGGGAATGGTGGTTATATTAGGCTTACTTGTGATTACTACCTTGTCAGAGTTGTGTCATCCTGTGTTGTTATTTGAAGTGTGTAGACCTTAATTTCGTGTGTTCATATCAGATGGAAAAAAAGTACATCTATTTCCCAATAGTATTCCTAGGTCATATGCTTGTTGAGAATCACAACCCCCATGGACTGGCACCCAGTCCCAACCCCCAGTCCATGGACTGGCACCAGTCCACAACATGCCAGAAACCAAGCCACACAAAGCCCCATCCATGGGATGCAGGCAACACGCGAAACCATACCCCCTCCGGTCCGCAGAAAAACCTCTCTGCATAGAAATGATCCCTGGTGCCAAAAAGGTTGGGGACCGCTGCAATTTCATAAGCATGTAATGAAAAGAAACTGGGTGCACATTTATACTTAGCTTTCTTAGGCTATTGTATTTTGAGCCATGAAACAATGGCAAACGGTTGGTACCCAGATGTCTTGATGTTCTCATGCTTCTTTAGTTAGCGCACAATTAGAAACAGCCATGCTCTAAATAGAGTATCCAAGCAGAGAGCAGAGGCTGTCCAATTCTTTTGTACTATAGTGACTGAAAAATGGCAGGTCCTTTCTCAACATCTGAAATAATCTGCACATGAAAAGGACTTCATGAAGAAAGCTAATAATATACCTTGGGAATTACATAGCTGCTAGAAAAAGTTCAACCAGTTAAGTGAAAGGACAAGTAAAAGCCAGGACCTTAGATTGGGCCCTAAATTATGAAATTAGTAATTTTCTAAAACAAAGTTCTTATTTATATGCATTGAGCAACACTTTGATTTTGTCCGTGTACTGAGAAAGCCTTATTTTAGCGATCCACATGATCAGTAAGTTTTCTCAATACCATTAATCACTAGAAAACTTCCTCTTTACCCTTTGTTTACACATTTCAGAGTTGCATAAGCATATTTCCATGGCTTCCTATAACAGATTTTATTCAATGGTCCATAGCCTGAGAACTATTTATGGCCACTCAAAACTTTGAGTATAATAATTCCCAAGTACTACTTCCATATTATAATTATTAATGTGACTGGAAGAAAATACAGTATAATTAAATTGTAGGAGAAGATTCATATTAGTTACGCTTATATAATTTGAAGCCTTTTTAATATAAATCAAATAATATGTAGCATTTATCTAGCCACTATTCCCATTTTAGAAGGGTAAGCCCGAAAACCCATCATTCAAAATCTAAAGGTAGCTTGTACAACCTTGATATATATGAATTGCCGCTCCACAAAATCATTATTCAAGATGTAAGTGCACTATCTTGATATATATGGATTGTCACTTTCCCAAACCATCATTTAAAATCTAGGTGTAGGTTGCAGAATCTTGATATAGATGGATTTGGGGTGAAATGCTCCCGATCTGGTAGCGATGGAGGTGGGTGGTTCAGAGAACCGGTAGCAAAAATCCCTGCCCCTCCCCCATGCCCAGCTGAGCCGCGTGATCATCGGAGGCTTTTTAAAATTATTTTTAAAAGCATTTTTTCTACAACCTCTTTGGCTGGAAAAATGCTTTTAAAAGTAAAAAGAAAAGCCTCTGATGATGGTGTGGCTCAGCTGGAATCGTCAAAGGCTTTTAAAAGCATTTTTTCTACAATCTCTGTAGAAAAAATGCTTTTAAAAGCCTCTGATGATCCCAGCTGAGTTGCCTGATCGGCAGAGGCTTCTTTTCCTTTTAAAAACATTTTTTTCGGCCAAAGAGGTTATAAAAAAAATGCTTTTAAATTTTTTTAAAAAGCCTCTGATGATTGTGCGGCTCAGCTGGGCAAAGGGGGGGGCAGGGATTTTTGCTACCGGTTCTCTGAACCACCCACCTCCATTGCTACCGGATCGGGTGATCCGGTCCGAACCGGGAGCATTTCACCCCTGCATTCTGGACTTTAGAGAAACTATAAAGGCAGAGAGAGTTGCATTTCACATTGAGTGTCTCCTTTGGGCTCACTTCAGAATCAGAATTTCATCTGAGCTCAATTTCCATGAATTGAAAAGGAATTTAGAATGGATAAGTGCAACATTTCATAAACTACATTCTCCCCGCCCCCCCTCCCCATTAATGATTCTTGAAAGTATAGTTCAATAAATTAATCGGCGGCAAATGGTATCACCTGTGGCACCTAGGAGACTCTGGGCAGCTATCCTGCGCAATGAAGAGTTTGCAAAATTAAAAGAGCTCCACTGTCCCTTTCACATATAAATTAACAGTAGGATCTGAAGTGAAACACATAGTTAATTGCTGTGATAATCACAAACATGACAACTTATTATCTGCTTATGTTTACATTTGTACTAATGGTTGCCTGTCCTGTATGATTTTCTTATACACATTATTGACTTTCTTCTAGGTGGATGTATGCATATGAAATGTCCTCAATCTCAGTGTAAATTTGAATGGTGTTGGAAATGTAGCCTTGAATGGAACAGAATGTGCATGGGAGATCATTGGTTTGACTGATCCTTAAGGAAACCTAGAAACAACCAATTGCTTCACAGGGAACTTCACAGTTACTTCCCACAATATCAGATTCCAAAGTTTTTGTTCAAGCTTTGAATTTCTCACAAGTATTAATTGTGGGATTAATTATGACATTTGGCTTTTGTGTATGTGTTTTTCATAAGCACCAAACATCAGTATGTATCTTCAGATGGTCACATCTAAGTCCAATATAGCAATTTTTAAAAAAAATAATCAGAAGGACCAGGCTATCATCTGTTAGATATATTCTGCTTACATCAAGGCAACTCTATAACTCCCTCCCTTGAAAACTAGGTCATGTCTTTGGCCAGTTTCTGTTTTTAATTGATTTCATCTTTGATTTTGAAAATGTGTTATCTATTATTGGCAAAATAAAGAACTATACAAAACTGGGCCTCTCAAATTGTTCAAACTATTATGGTTTATATTTATCAGCAGTTCAGTTTGTGACTTTGTGTTTGAAGGTTTGGAAATATTAATTTTTAAAGTATATAGGTATAATCACAAGTGCAGTTTCAGATAAACAATATATTACACAACTTGCCTTCTAAAACCAAAACTTTTATAGTACAATTTTTTATAGTGACACAACTTTTACTGGATTGATTTCCAGGCCTCAGTCACAAATAAAATATAGATCTTTGCAAGGGTGGGATTCAAACATTTTAGCAACCAGTTCTCTACCCGGTTGCTGGGTGGGCATAGCTATGGTGGGTGTGACCAACTCAGCCTCCTGCACCACGGCAGTGGGGGCGTTTTCACCTTTCCTCGAGCCTCCAGGAAGGCGAAAACGGCCTCTCCCGGGCTCTGAAGGCCCTCCTGAACCCAGAAACGGGCCCATTTCTGAACTTCTGGGAGGCCCATTTTTTGCCCTCCCCAGGCTCCAGAGACTTGCCTCAAGCTCCGGGAGGGTGAAAATGGCCTCCCCTGGAGCCCGGAAATGGGCCCGTTTCCAGACTTCCAGAACTTCCGGGAGGGCCGTTTTTCACCCTCCCAGAGCCTCTGCGCAGACCCTGCACTTGCCTGGCATCCAAAATGAGCCGTGTGGAGACTCCTGGGAGGGGAGGGACAGGGTGTGCGGGGCCAGCCAGTCCTTGCAACTACCGGTTCGGCGAACCAGATGTAAAATTAGCATCCGTTTCGCCCGAACCAGTCCGAACCAGCTGAATCTCACCCCGGATCTTTGTTGTCTGCTTTTGACCTCTTTGGTATGTACATTCCTAGAAGAGCTAGAAGAGTTTAGCTATAATATATACATTAGAGACTTGGGCAAAGTTTTTCTAAGTCAACATCAATTTGAGTTCTGTGATCTCATTGTCTGACATGATATAGATATTTACAGTTTTACTAGAATTACCCAAAACGGTTATAAAACAGACTGATTTTGATTGACATTTTTTTTTATGGATTTGATTTTTAGAATTATATTTTTACAAGTCTTTGGTCGAAGCTATGCCAGTATTTTAAAAAAGGTCTTGCTATAGGTTTCATCCTCAATAAAAGTTCTGGTGTTTTCATGTTTTTGATGGTATATGATTACTTCAGATTTATTATAATGAAGACATTGTGAAACTACTTGAAAGCAATCATACACAGAGTAGGTAGCTTACACTTTATGCTAAATCAGAGTTGTCACATTGTTTTGCCACTGTATCTGCCAATCTTGTACCTCAAAAGCTAAATGAGTGATGGATTGTGATCAACTCTCAGCATTAAGAATTTAAGGAGCCATGTGTTTTTTCTATAACTGTGGCCTATTACTCCAAGAATGTATTTCATTACTGCTAAAAGTAAGTTGATTTTAATTATATATAAAACCCCAGCTATCTCTATTCCCCCCTTCTATCCCTCAGCTCCAGTGTAGCAACACTGAAGCCTCAAAATGGCCTCGATCAGGTCAGCTTCAGGGTTGACAGTTTTCGGTTACTGCAGTCTACTCGCATTTAAGCAGGTAGTCCTCAACTTATGACCTCAACTGAGTCCAAAATTTCTGTTGCTAAACAAAACATTTGTTAAGTGAATTTTGCCCCATTTTAAGACATTTCTTGCCACAGTTGTTAAGTGAATAACTGCGGTTGTTAAGTTAGTAACACAGTTGTTAAGTGAATCTGGTTTCCCCGCTGACTTTGCTTGTCAGAAAGTCACAAAAGGTCACATAAACTCATGATATTGCAACTGTCATAACCGTGAGTCAGTTGCCAAACATTTTTGATCATGTGACCATGGGAATACTGCAACAGTCATCAGTGCGAAAAATGATCACGTCACCTTTTTCAGTGTTGTTGTAACTTTGACCGGTCACTAAATGAATAGTAGTAAGTGAAGGATCACCTGTTATCCATGTGCTAAGATTTATATGACTTTATCCTAATCTTTGCAGTAAAACAACTATGAAAAAATTTTGTTTTCTGGTGGAGGTAGAGCACGACCAGAGGTGGGTTTCAGCAGGTTCTGACCAGTTCTGGAGAACCGGTAGTGGAAATTTTGAGTAGTTCGGAGAATCGGTAGTAAAAATTCTGACTGGCTCCACCCCCATCTATTCTCTGCCTCCCAAGTCCCATCTGATCGGGAGGAAATGGGGATTTTGCAGTAAGCTTCCCCTGGAGTGGGGTGGGAATGGAGATTTTACAGTATCCTTCCCCTGTCATGTCCACCAAGCCATGCCCACCAAGCCATGCCACACCCACCAAGCCACACCCACAGAACCGGTAGTAAAAAATTTTGAAACCCACCACTGAGCAGGACTACCTTTACTTAATGTAGAGAAAATTCTTCATGCCTGCCAAATGTTATACCCAGCTCCCTTGACAAAATACGATGGACACAAATCTTAGGATAGAACTAAAGGTAGCAACAGGCTCATGTTTTCAAACCCAAGCCAGTGATAAACATCAGCAAAGAAGTGGGAAACAGAAGAATAGTTTGGAATCATTTCCCCATCTGCTAGCCTTTACCTTATACCCACAAAATAGTTTTTCTTCTTTAATAGGCTTATTTCCTGCCATTGAAACCAAGCGAAGAAATGCCTTGTGTATTTTTCTGCTGCATGCCCTCACATACACCCTTGTTTTCTTTAGCATGGGATGTTGAAAAAGCAATGTTTGCCCAAACTGAATCTTGCTCAGCTCATTGGCTTTAAATATGTACAGACATTCCGAAACATAAAGAGGAAGTACAGGTAGTCCTGGACTTACAAAAGTTTGTTTAGTGATCGTTCAAAGGTATAACGGCACTGAAAAATGTGACTTACAACCGTTTTTCACAGTTACGACCTTTGAAGCATCCACAGGATCATGTGATCAAAATTCATAGGCTTGGTAACCGGTTCATACTTATGACCGTTGCTGTGTCCCAAGGCCATGTGATTCCCTTTTGTGACCTTCTCACAAAAAGAAAGGGTATAATTATAAATTCACGTTTGAATGTCAATCTTTCTAGCTAACCAAGAAGCCTTACTGAATATCACTCATCTTGGTTCCTTGTCATTAAAAGCTTCTTTCTGGCAGTTATGCTTGGTTATTCGATTTATTCTTCAAAGCGTTGATCATTGCATCCCGGCTGGAAGAAACCCAACGGGAGAATTTCCTCCCAACAAAACCATGGTGAGAAGCCTGCTAAGTCTGCTCAGCCTGTTCCTCGTCTCCAAAATTCCCATACAGCGGCCGCATAGTGCCATCCTGAAAATGTGCACCACTTTGTGAGTGGCCGCAATTCACAAAGTCACCTGTTTTCAGGATGGCACCACATTGCCTATGTTTAGGAAAGCGACATCGTGGATTGGCTGCTTCTCCTTGAGAAAGACAATCTTTGGGAAAGGTAAGTGGAGCGAGGGACGATGGGGCAAAGGGGGCCCAAGGGTGGCAAATCCAACACAGCAGGAAGCTGTGCAAGGGGTTCCTCACGAGTTGGAGGAGGTCCTGGAAGGCTATATGTGATCTGCAATGTGGGTAAGCCTCCATGCTCCATTTAATGACCACAATGGGAAGAGTTGGAATAGTTGTTAAGTGATGTGATCATGTCTGTGCCTCATTTAATGATCACTACAACTTACAACCAACTAAATTCCAGGCTCAATTGTGTTTATAAATTGAAGACTACTTGTAAAATTAAAGAAGACCAAACTAAGGTCAACAGATAGAAAAAATAGCCTTAGACTTGGCAATGAAGGTATTGAAGTAGTGGATAGCTTCTATTTTTCAGCATCAGCTACCAACAGTAAAGAAACAAACAGTCAAGAAATATGATGCAGACTAGACCCCTAAAGCTGTTGGGAAAGAGATCCAGATGCCATGAGTGTCTACACCTACAACAATCAGAATAGTATGAGCAATATTCCCTATGCACTCAATGGAAGTGGAAGTTAGATGTTAAAGAAATAGGAAGAGTACTGACGTTTTTGAATTTTGGTGTTACTAAATACTGTAGTCAACCAGGAAAACCTACAAATAGAACACTGAGCAAATCAACCTAGAAATCTTACTCAAGGCATAAATGAAAGCTCTAATTATCCTACTTCAGACACATTATAGGAAAACCTACCTACCTACCTATAGAAGGCTCTAATGCTGGGAAAGATGAAAGGAGGGAATGACCAACAGCAAGGTAGATAGACTCAATTACAGAGGCAATGGGGGAATCATTGAAAGATTAGAAGCAACAGGTTGGGAACAAATCATCCCTGATTTTTTTCTGCTGCATATAGTTTATATTACCTTGATATAGTGCCTGATTTATCTAAGATGCCTGTTGGGAACGAAATTCTCTCATTTAGCCCAACATCTGGTTCTGTTAACATTTTAAAGATCTCTTTTAAGTGTCCCAAACTGTGTTCCAAATTTTGTTATTTTCCTGGAAATTCAGTAATGCTCTTTGGTAACAAAGACACAGAGAGAGAGATAGACAAGGAAGGATTGTTTCAGGAAATCCCAAATGAATCCTTTGTAGAAATGTGGTTTAAACGCGTGACTCAAAAGATTCATCAGATTAGCATTGATTCTAATTGTTTATTCTCCAGGGGTACATCACCAGCAATTAATTTTATCAAGCAAAGACTATAGGATAATTCAGTACAGGAATTTATTTTATTTTATTTTATTTATTTATTTCCAATTTCTATACCGCCCTTCTCCCTGAGGACTCAGGGCGGTGTACAGCCAGAATTAAAAACAATTAATTGCCAAAGTATTGTTTGACTTTGTAGTATTAACATTTTACCAGAGTTTTCAGCAGGAAGTTATCTGGCCAATTCTAAAATCAAAATCAGGAAGAGATACTTCTGAGCATGTAAAAATTGTACTTGCATATGAAAATACTAAAATTATTATTTTTTAATTATTTTTATTATAAATAGAAGGAGCAACATATTCAATATCCTTATAGACAGTGTGTTGTCTGGTTACAATTCCTTTGAACAATACTCAATGTCATATTAGTGATGATATTCTCTAGCAGTAATCTTATAGTACCAGTGCTTTTCCTTCATAATATTAATACATATTAATTGTTAATATTAAGTAGAATTAATAATAGCTTACAGTAATCAACCATAATAATAAAATTAATCTTTCTCTTGTAATTTTAAAAATTCTAATTTCTGTTTCTCTTATTTAACCATCGATAGAATAAATCCCATATCTCAAAATATTCAGTGTCTTCCTTTTCTTTAATTTCAAGAGTTAATCTACACATTTCTGCACATTCTAATACTTTTTTTTAATTATCTTCTCTTCTGTAGGGATCTCTTCACCCTTCCAATGTTATGCACTGGCCGCTGTTAACACATGTATTATTAAATATATCCCTTTTACTGAAAAATACTAAAATTACAACGGCAACAGTCAGATTTTTAACTATGGATATAAAAACAAGGTTTTTAATAACAATTCAATGAGCTGGGGTTTTAAGGCTATTATATTTATTAAATATTGTTCTTGTTAAATTGTTTTATCCAGTCAGGTTTAGAATATGATTGTAACTTGTTTTTGGTCTTCTTAGCCATAAATAAAATTGATGGATACTTTCATCTCCTCTTCGATCATAAGAGACCATAAAGTGCTAGCAACCCACCCATATCTTCAGGAAGTTTATTGTTTCACTTTGCAGCGAAAGAAGCAATCATTCTTAGATTAATGTTCCTGCTTGTAAATAGACTGTTTACTTGTTGCATTTAAATACAGGTAATCCTTGGTTAGTGACCATTCAAAGTTACAATGGTGCTGAAAAAAATAACCTTATGACCAATAGACTACATTCACAGCTTCTGCAGTTTCCTTCAGTCACCTGAGATCACAATCAGTACATGTTGCCTTGCACCTGATCTTGCAGGGTGAAGACATTAAAGAGGAAGCAGTGACATGAAAGTAAGCAGGCACATTATGGGCAGTCCCCAGGGTTATTTCTGTAGCATGCTCGTACTTGCCAGCACAGAGCTTTTCTTTCGATGTGCATTCTTCATTGCGGGCCTGCTTACTCTCTACGAATCCCTTCCTCTCCAATGAATGCAAATACAAACATTAATTTCC